TTATGCTTTTCGATGTCTGCCAAAGACTGGCCATAATGAGTTAATTCTTCATCTTCGTTTAGGTTGTAGATGTTTTTCTTTTCATGTTGTCGCTGACAGAAGAGGAAAAAAAATCCGTTTCCTAAAATTTCCACATCCATTTAATAGCAAAACCCAATAGTTTTTCTATTACTTATGCAACGTGACAATGTAGCCTAAGCAGCTTTAAGACGATTCTGGGTCATCCGAGCAATGATTCAGATATAAACAGAACCAGCAAAAGTCCACAGATCAGGCTAAGCTACTGGTCTGTCACGTGGCTTTTCCCACCAGGAACGTTCTAGCACCCACTCGCTCTCCACCCACCTGAACTGAAGGACTTTAGTCAAAGCTCCAGGACACACCACTGCCTGCCATGCACTCTGGTTAAGAGATCTATCCACCCACCTGCTACCTGCAGAAGGCTGCTTCCTCTTTGGCCTCGCCAGCCAAAGGAAGGGATTGAAGACCCACCCACTGTACCTGGTGGGCAGGTGCCCACAGGAGCGTAAATGAACTGGGAGACTGCCTTCTTGTGCTCGACGTCTGTCCCATACCTGCTGCTCCAGAGCAAACCTCTTCAGCATCTTCTCCTCTGGGCTCATGCTGCTGCTGTACTCCCCAAAGCGTTTATCTGCAAACACATTGGACTTCTCTCTTTCCTTGTATTCCTTTAGTAGAGTCTGGGTTCGCTGAAAAACAGATCAGAAAACAATCTCACACGGGTCCTGCCAACTCCGTGCTCTGATGCTTGGCGATCTTAGCCCCCAAGGGGAAAAAGCTTCCACAAGGGGACACTACGATGGCTCTGATGAACTCAAAGATGACACTGCTACCTGGCCATTATGTATGCCTTCGGCCACTGAAACCGAGAGTCCCCAAAAGGGCTAATCTACTGGGCCTCAGTGCTGCGGGAAGCTGGACTGCTGCTGTGCAGTGGAGGCAGAGGGCACTCTCCAGGGAGCGCTCTGTACTTCTGGGCCCACTAACCAAAGGTTAAAGAGAAATGCCAGCCATGACAGAGAAAGCAGAGCCTCAGAGGCCACTGTGTCAGGTGAGGAAGCTGAAGGAGCTGAGGTCCTGGCTGAGAGGGAGGGAAGGCACGAAACAAGGAGTGGAAAAGGAAGCCATGATGTCAACTCCGAGCATGACCAATGACAGGCAAGAGACTGTGACAGCCCTGCGTATTTGCTCTTGGCTGTCACATACACGCATTTATTTTACACACAGTCAATCCTCGTCACTCGTGGAGTCCACGTCTGCAAACCTGCCCACTTGCTAAATGCACTTGTTATCCCAAACCAGCACTTGCGGACTCTCGTGGTCATTCACTGACATGGGCACGAGGCCCAGGAGGTGCAGCCAAGAGTGTGGACACGGGTCCCAGCGAGGACTGGGGGAGGCACCGACCTCCCTGTACGAGGGAGATAATGGTGCTGAATACAGGCTGTTCTGAAGGCATCCAAAAGGAGATGGCTCAGGACAGGCTAACGGCTGTGAGTGGTGAGCTCCCTCCCGAGTCTGGACTGGGTCAGACAGCTGAGAACGGCTCCTTGTCTCGGTTTCCTCAGGTGTAAATCACGGGGATAATCACAGCGCTTCCCTTACAAGGCTGACTGTGAGGACTGAACGTAAACTTCCCAACACAACGCCTGCCCCACTGTGGTTCCATATATTAACTTCTGTTCTTTTAACAGATGATAAAGTGATGACGGGACCTGGCACCCGGCAGTCCTAACAGCAAGCCTGCTCTCTCTGCAGCAAGTGCTGCCACGGAGTAGAGAAGACGAAGGGGCAGCCCATTCACTCCTGAGGGACCTGCACCGACCGAGACGAAAGCTACCTCGCCAGCCGTTTTCCCCACGCACATATTGTGTTCTAACTCAATCGGACGACCTGTGTTTCCTCCAGACAGCTGAGCTCTTCGACCTCACGCCTCAGGACACCTCATGACAGGGGACGACGCGCCTTCGGCCCCACCTGTGGATGTGCTGCTCACCCTCCAGAGCTCAAGTGTGACTCCCTCTGTGAAGACTGCTTTCACTCTCCTAACTGTTACACCTTCTTCACGCTGAGCCCCGAAGCACTAAGGTTCTCCATCTGATTCCTGCAAATACCTGTTTCTATTGTGGACCAAGCCCTGGGAATTCAGAGGAGGCAGCCAGGCCCCCTCCGGGCCTCTCACCCCCAGGCCTTCAGCACAGAGGACGGAGCTGGACCCTTTAGAGGCCTGTGTGACCTCTCCTATTTGGGTGGTAGGGCTCAGGAAAGTACCACACTGGTCGCTTGGGCTGGCCCTTGAGAGACGTGGGGGACAAGACCGGCCTTCTGGAGCAAACTGAGTCGCAAAAGGCAAAACAAGGACAACAGGTTGGGGCCAGATTGAAGAAGTCTGAGAACGACAAGCTGAGAAGTCTAAGAATAATAGCTAGTCGTTTAGAGAATACTTACGATGAGCTAAATGTGCGATTTTATTTACTTCTAACAACCACCAGGAGAGATAGGAGGTATATTATCCCCACTTTAGAAATGAGAAAGCTGAGGCTTAAGTGGTGAAACAAACATGTCCGTTCTAGAATCCACACTATCCAATCCCCCACGCCTGCCCAGGGGTGTGTAATGGGGGACTCGTCCAAGTCAACTGGAAGATTGTCTTGTTATTGAACATACGGCCAGCTCCTTGCAGTACGGATGACAGGTGGAGCGCCCACTGTGTGACAGAATATAGGTTACGTGTCTTTGAAGGCGATGGCCAAGTCTGAATTTACATTAATGTCCCAGAACAGAGCTTAAATAGAAGTGCTTTATTAGCCAGGACAGAGCTTAAATAGAAGTGCTCAGTGGAGCAAAAAGGCTTCACAGACATTCGAACCGAGTACAAGCCCCAGCCCTTACCAGTTGTGTGATGTTAGGAAATTCATTTGTCCTTTCGGTGCTTTAATTTTTTCACCAACCTACTAATGTATCTTCCTCAGAGTAATAATAAATACTGTTTAAGAAACCAATGAACAGGTCTTAGAAGCTGTACATAGAATGCCACTTGTTGAATTGAATTTGAAAGGTACAGAACACCCTGTGACCATCAACACAGGAAAGTTGAAAGCTATGACACTTTCTATAGAAGGTGGCATTTCAGTTATCCCGCAAGGGACAAGGTGCTGTGCTTCAAATGAGAGATGCTTGTTCTTCACACATCTGTGGCATCCCGCGTCACCCCCTGTACTGTGAAGAAAAAGATCCCTGCTGCCTGAGCCCGCAGAGCTCCAAGTCTAAACGAGGAAAGGTAAAACAGGTCTGTAAGATGCCACGGTAGCGCTCTACCTACCTCATCTACCTGCGTCTGCATGTGCACTTCTGCAAGTTCTAAGGTTAGAAGAATAAGAAAACCCTGTTACATGTGGAATTTCTGGAGAGGTTAGTGGTAAGTGGCACAAGTGTGCTGGGTCTCCAAGGAGGGGCAGTTTTCCAGGGGGGAAGGTCATTCCAGCCCATGCAAAAGCAGAGGCATGAAGATAAAAACAGTTTAACTGACGTGGGATATAGATGCTGTATGACATCCGGCTGAGCCAGGCACTGTCCTCAGGGCTTTAAATGAACGCACTGGGTCCTTCCAACAGCCCTAGGATGCAGGTATTATCATGATCTCCGTTTTACAGATGAGGAAACTGAGGCACAGAGAAGTGGCCAGGTTGCCCAAGGCCTCCAGGTTGGCCAGTGTGTGGCCCAAATCGTGGCAGTCCGGCTCCCGAGTCTCTGCTGAGCAGATATTTGTTAAAAAATCACGCAGGGGCGTGTGGTGGGGTGGTCGGGTCCCGAGCGGGGACAGCGGGAGGCCGGGTGCGCTGTTAGGAGTAGATGGCAGACAATCTGTGCTCCCGGAAGAACTCAGAGGGTTAGACGCGGTCCCTGCTCCCACGCACGGCCCAGGGCAGGGGACACCCACCCGGGAGCGCCCGGCGGGCAGGGCGCCCCGCTTACCTTCTGGATGGCCCGCGCGCGCGACACCCCGGGCAGCCCCACGTCGTGGCGCGTCTTCCTGCCCAGGACCTGGAACTTCTGCCTGTTGACTTTCACTTCGAACGGGTTGGGGTTGGGCCTCGCCCGGCCGCCCCGCGCTCCCGCCGGGGCCTTCGTGCGCGCCCCGGCCGCCCGGGCCTTTCCCATGGCGTACACTCACCGCACCCCAAGGCGCCCGACTCCGCACGGCCTCAGAGACCCGGAGGAGGCGAGCCGATGGCCCAAGACTACCGGAGAGCGGGTTCCGTCAGGCAACACGTGCCGGGACCAGGGTGCCGCCCCCACCCTCAAGTCGCGATAACAGCCGGCGAGAAGCAGATATATCCGGCTCAGCCTACGCGCATATAGACTGAGCGACTACAACTCCCAGCAGGCCACGCTCGCTAGACGCGCCACTTCCTCCCCGCGCGGGGCCTTCTGGGAGCTGTAGTGTCCGGCGCGGCGCCTTAGCCTCCGGCGCCAGGGGAGGGGCGCTCGAGCTCCATCCTCCGGGAAGCCGTTAGCGGGAGCCGGCCGCGGTGCGAGTAGGCGGCGGCGGCGGCGGCAGTAGCCGTCGCCGCCGGGGGCGGTGGCCCTGCCAGTGAGCCCGTCCCTGGGGCCGGGCTCGGCGGAGACTCCGGGCGGCCCGGGAGCTGGGTCCTGAGGAGAGAGTTGGGAGCACGAACCGTGGGTGATGCGGCCAACAGCCGGCCCGCGGCGGTGACCGCGAAGACCCCCGGCGACCGGGCTGCCAGCTCGCCTCGCCCGGTCCCCGCTGGAGCCCCGGGCCGTCGCCAGCAGCGTCCGAAGCGGCGACGGCGTCGTCGTAGGCGGGTCCGGAGGCGGTGGTGCGGGTGTTGGCCGTGGCGGCGGCGGCGGGGCTGCTCTCCCGGGCCCTTTGTGCGGCCCCGCAGGCCGGTGGCACCCAGCAAGCGATGCGCGGAGGTCCCTCCCCTGTCTCGCTGTGTCCGTGGAGCCAGGCCGCCGCGGCGGCGTGGACGTCATCGGCGGTCCATGGAGCTGGAAAACCTCGTGGCCAACTCGCTGCTGCTGAGAGCGCGTCAAGGTAGGTGCTCCGCGCGCACCCCCGGCGGGGACCCGGACCGGGGGTCCGCGCTGCTGGCTCGCGGCAGCCGTCCGCTTGGGCCGCCCTAAGGCTTAAGCGGCTCCCCTCCCCTGCACCCCTTCGGCACCTCCGGGCCCGGGGGAAGGTAGCCTGTGCCCCGCTCTTGCCAGCTTGCTCTGTCCCGGCGACCTCGGGTCGCCGTGTTGTGTCAGCACCGGGCGAGCGGTGTCCTGTCCCGAGAGGGAGGGAGCCAGACCACCGAGTGCAGCCAGCGGGTGGAACCGTGCCGTGTGGTGTTGCGACGGCAGAGGCGAGAGCCTCGCGTCAGTGTGCAGACCGTCGCCTTCGCACAGCTGCTTGGGCTGGGGGTTTGCTCGGAGGCTTTGTGGCGCGCAGAGCGGGCTTCGGCTCGGCGCGGTGCCAGGTTCCGCAGGTCGGTGCGAGCGCACCTTCTGTCCGCGCGAAAGCCGCCGGCGGCCCCGCCTTTCTGCTCCGAGCCCTCGTCCCGGCGGCGTGTCCCTCTCGCCTGCCTCCCAGGACGGGGGATGCCGAGTGCTTACGGCTGTTTCCCAAGTTGGAAACTATTTCTTTATTTGCCGTAGAGGCTTGTTGAGTATTTCCCAGGCGGTGTCTTCTTGGACACATGTCTGTTCATGGCTCGTTCCTGGTTGGCTTCTCTGGCTGGAGTATTAGAAAGTTAACTTTTGAAATGAGTGGGCAGAGCACAGTAGTTATATGTTGGTCCTGGGAATTGCAGTGTTGATTCGTTATTATTAATGAGCCCAGTCATCTTCTAGATTTATTTCAAATAAAATCAGTCTGTCTCTTTGGTCTCAAACAGATTCGTTAGTCTTTCCTCCTTTCAGGAATGTTGGCAGATGGTGCTGCATTGAAAAACTTTTATGTATATCAATATGCTAAGGCACATTCTAAGGAAGTATGAAATAATTATATTGTTAATAAAATAACACAAACATCACTGCTTTTTTAAAAAAATGTAGGATTTTCTGCATATTACATTTATTAAGCATTTTATGACCTTCAGTTGCTTTAAATGATAATCTTAATTGTTTCACATACTTCTGAGGAGACTTTAACCCCATTTTTTTATTGGGGGACAGTGAGTTTTTCCGGGACCCATCAGCTCCAAGTCAAGTAGTTGTTTCAATCTAGTTGTGGAGGACACAGCTCCTTGGCCGATGTGGGAATCGAACTGGCAACCTTGGTGTTATGAGCCTGCGCTCTAACCACCTGAGCTAACTGGCCGCCCCTAACCCCATTTTATCTCTTGGAAAAATTGACAGCATAAATGCAGAGGGGCAAACGTGTGCCATGTCCATTTAATCGGATTTTGGTCTTATATCGGCGGTGCCATAAAATGTACACATTTTAAGATATGTTATTTATGTACTATACTTTTTGAAGTTGAATTGAATTATATAGCAATTGTGTAGTATGACGTTAGCTTAAAAGATGGTGTAATCAAAGGAATGCTAGTGTCGTTCATTATATTACAATTTTAATACAGTTTTTTCTTTTCTTCAAATGTGTATGCATTTTTTGGGCACCCTCTGTAGATAGCAGCTCCATTTTGATTTCAGGTTATAGTGTTGATGAGCAGCTTGCTTAGCACTTGAAGCGTAGTTAATGTACCTGTTATCATGAAGGCTCTCTTGCTGAGGCTTCTTCCTCAGGATTTCTGGGTGGAGGGAGTTTCTAGAAGTAGTTTATAAACCCTTTGATTGCAGAGGTGTAGATAGTAGTCACCATTTTTGTCTCCTTCATTGCACTTGGTTTGTTCCCACACCCAAGAGCTACTTAATGCATTTTTGTCATGTAAATGAACAACTTCTGTGTTCATTGGGACACATTCTTGTGTGCTTACAATTCCAATCTTCTGTGTGGCTGGCCCTTCTTGCTTTTTTTTTTTTGTTCTGTTCTTTTTTTTTTTTTTTTTTTGAGA